CCTACACGCAGTCACTAGGAAATGCTGATTTCAGATAAATCTTCCATGTTTTATGTTCAAAACAGGAAAAGGGTGAGCATGGTAAGCGTTTTGTTCTTTACTGATGCAGTCAGCTGTAGTGTGACTCTTGATTTAAATTTTAAAAAGTATAAAATTGACTTTTCTTAATATCCCTGGTTTTGTGATCAGCTACTGTAGGTATAGTCACTGCTCAAAATCATCAATAGTTATTACACAAATGGGAATGCTTAGTTTGAGAAACACGAATCAGTTGTCTGTTACTGAAATATGAATATAATATAGGTGCTCAAGAATTTCAGTATAGTCATATGAAAACAGATTTTTGTGATGCATTTACAACTGCTGTTTCAAAATCAGATTAATAGAAGTGAGATGGAGCTATGTGGTACATACATGGGTTTGAAACTGATGGGCGTATATCCCTTTGGTTTTTCTACAGACTAGTTGACAGGTCATGGCAGCTTCTCAGGTATCTTATTTTCACTTTTAAAGGCAGTTTGTGAAGTGTGTTATTGTCTTCTGGAATTTAAACCTACTGCATACACAATTTTTTAAGCAGCTTTGCCTTGTAATAATTGCAGCTGTTTTGGAATTTGAAACGGTTAGGTTTCAGTGTGCAGTACTTGAGACAATCTAGAAAGTTTAATATATCACAGATTTTACAGAAATGCTATTCTGAAGTTGTCTCCTCCCTTGAAACCCATTATTGCCTCAGATAATTTTAAAAGTTTTTCTAGCATTTAGGCTTCTGGAGCATTTTAGGGCATCCAAATGTTCTACTGTCTACTGTATCTGTTCTTCAGATCTCTTGGGAGGTCTGGGGTTTTGTCTAAACTTTCAAAATACCAGCCTCTTCCAAAATTTTTTTTACTGCCAGATATTTTCTTAAATGCACTTACTGCATGGATATCTGAGGAAATGTAAATTAGCAGGAAGGTTAAGAGGTAGGAACAGATTACTGAGCTGCATGAAGACACAGCAAATTTAGACAAAATGTAACACTTCAGTGTCAGTTGTTTGGTGGCTGGTAAATAATTTAAAATCTGGTTCTTAAGAGTCTGAAAAAAGGGACCATCATTGCCAAATTTAGTCTGAAAGTAATCCTCAGTCCAAATTGTCATTTGAAAACATGATATGAGAGTTAGTGGTGTGGTTTGGTTCTCTTTCTCTAAGAAAGAAGAAATAAAAAAGCAGCTTTACAGCAAGCTGCATCTCATGGCAAGCTACCTGGTCCATCTTTAGCCTGGTAGCTTCACTTCTTACAGAAACGCTTAGCTGTGTTTGAATAGCCCTAAGAGTTCTTAGAATTTTGCCATCATACAGATTGCGTGTGCCCTCAGCTGCTTTTCTGGAGTCTTGCAACTGTATTGCAAATATTAGTTGGCTGTGAGCTAGTCGTGGACAATATCTTCATGGGTTTTGTGCCATTTTCAGGTAAAAGGCAGTGAGGGATGATTGGGAAAGGCTGAGGTCGTTAGTGCAATCTCCTGCTTGCTGCTTACCTTACTCCCATTTTGCAGTGTTGTGTTAGGATTGCTTGAAAACAGATTTCCTCATGTTTCAACCCTCTGTCTTTCCTGTGAGTGCAAAGAGCAACAATTACCCTACCTAGCTCTTGCAAATAGCACAATCCTTTTGTATTTGAAAACTCAGCTACCCAGAATATGTGTGGTAACAGGTATGATGCAGTTGTAGCAACAAGCACAAAGGTGTAGACAGCACTGTGCAACCTGTAGGTGTATTCCCGCGTTTCTGTAATGCCACTTACTGTCCCTTTGGGGCTTGAGACGTTCAGAGCGATGGTGTCGCACAGAGGTCCATCGATATTTGCGGATGGAGGAGAAAGCCTGTCCTGTGTGGGGTGGTGAGAAGAGGTAGGTCAGCTGTCTGGTTGTTGGTTACTGAGGTGGAAAGAAGGTAACAAGAGCTTCTCTGTGATTGCCTGAAAAATGCTTTAAGTGGGTACTTTAGTCCGGTCGTGGGTGGTACCTGTATTTTCTTCAGGAAAAGTAACTCTGGAAGAGGGGGCGGAACAGAATTCAGGCAGGCATCCGAGGCACTCGGGAGTTACACTGACCCAAATAACCTGTTTGAAGGGACAGGAAACACAAATCGAGTCCTGTTTGAACTGACACACAAATCAAAAATGTGAAATGTTGTGGATGAGAAACACCATTTTACTAATGCTAGTGAAGGCAAAAATAGCAATCTCTAAATTAAGAGAAGTAGGCTGGACAACATCTGTACTTCAGGCGAGGTAGGGGAGGAGTGAGAGACCTTGAAAGGAGGGAGCAGTGGGGTTTTGGTGTCTGACTTTGGCCAGTAGAGTTTGAAATTGTGGCCAAGTATTTCTGCAAAACTTTGTGGGATTGCTGGGGAGCGGGTGCTGTAGCCAGTCCTGACTACATTAGCAGTACACAATAAATAAAAACTGAGGTTGCTTGGTGAATTATTGTTACATAGCTGATACAGATCTTGACTTTTACAGGTAAGGAAGGAGTCACACGAAACTATGGTAAGTCCTTAACAGCTGGGAGAAGTTTTTATATTTGATGGTTGACAGAAGTTGTCTGTTGTTGTTATAATTGAATGTTACTGCAGCGCTGGATTTGGTTTCCCTGCTACAGCTACCCCAAAAGTCAAATTGTATGAGCTAGAACTTTGATAAAGCTTAGCTGGTGTGGGATACACGAGACCATGACTTCATGCCATGAAGTTACATGCTGTCCTCGTTCTGTGCCTTACCAGTTTGGGCAACAGCTTCATTTCTGGGGGCAGCTGTATCTCCTCTTCATAATTTTTCTTTAAAGTTATTGCTTCTGAAATTATCTGTTCATCCAAGATAGCGCTCTCTCAAATCCCTGCTTGCTCCCTTGGATTAATTACTAATCATCAAGAAAGTGATGCATATTCTGCAAAGAACAATTCCCCTCTGCGTTTACATCCCTTTTTTCCTTTCAATTACTGTTCCTCCAAAAGCTCTCGCTTCTGATAATAGTACCAACTCTTGCTCTTGGACCTCATCACAACCAAGTATTTTCTTACAGGAAAGAAGATTACTTGTGCAGAGGTGTTCTAGTCTTCTCCCAAATATAGTTTCCTACAATTCACCTCTAATTTAATTTTTTATTCTCAGTATCCCGCTGTTTCTCCTTATGCCAGACAGTTAATGGCAGTTTACTTATCTCCATAAAGCTGACTCCTGAAATATTTTTCCTATTACCTCATATATGGACTTTGGGTACATGTGCATACACAAGAGTAGGACGCTTCAGACTAAAGCAGAAATCTTCAGGGACCGAGACTTAATTTATCAGTTGATTATCACAGAGCTGCCACCGTGCATTTTCTTTCTTCTTATTTGAAACATCTGGAACTCACTGTTGATGAGAGGAGTTAACTGCTTGTAAATTAGATGTGCCAGAAGATTACAGATGAAGCCTGTCACGTTCGGGTGATGGCACATTCTTGCTGCTTCTCAGGATTCCAGCACTTTCAATGGGAATTGCAGTTTAAATTCTGCCTGCCCTCAGAGGTATTTTAGCATCACCTGCTGGCCACGGCACGCATAAACTTACAAAGCGCAGGAGCAGAGTTAAGGGGATGATGGGAAGAGTTACCAAAGCACACTACTAGGGGGGCTTACCCTTAACATTATATCTTTAAATATGTATGCTACTGTTAAAGCTTCTGGGAGTAGGCAGCCAAAAATCAAGGCGAAAACCAGTAACAGTAATCATACGAAGAATTTATCTGTGAAGATGTTAAAAATGTGTCTCCTGTGTCTAGCACGGGCAGACGGCTAGCAAGGGGTCTTTAGAACGAGTTGTAATTCAGCCAGCTGTGCTTTGTAAGGATGAATTGTTCTCGCTCGGGCACCCACTCTGACACCTTCAAACAGTTTTTCCTAAGGTCACTAAAAAAGTGATGCTTCAGAGGGGGCCCCACGGAGTGTCCTGAAAGGCTGGCCAGCCCAGGTGCTGAGGCAGGCCGAATGCCATTTCCCAGCTTCATACTTGAAATAGTGTCAAGTCCTCATTTTTGAACAGTTCAGCACGAACATTGCTTTGCTACTGCTGGTGTGAGATTTACTTTGGCTTGGTTATTTTTTTGGGGGGGGTGGATTTTGGTTTGGGGTTTGGGTGGTTTTGGGTTGGTTTGTTTTTTTTTTTCATTGATCTTATCAAGTCAAGAAGACAGTAGATTGATTTTTAGTTTTCTCCTCTATTTTGGAGAAATTATTAAGGTAGAGAAAACATTCTTCCTGATATTCCCCCAACTTCCCATGACTATCTTTTGATTTGTTCACGACTGCTATTCAGTTGAGGTATGTAAAAACGGTAGAATAAACTGACTCGGCTACAACTACGTGAGGAAGACGGGGTGCATGTGGTGACCTCCCGAGATGACAGGCGCAGGCAGGCACGCAGCCCGGCCTCTGCTTGCCCTCGGCGCTGCTGAAGAGGAGCGAGCTCCTCGTTCACCGGAGGTCGGCAGGTGGGCCGTGCTCTGCTCCCGCCCGTTGTGTGCGCTGGGAATGAGCGGCTCTGGGACATGACCGAGG